AAAGTTACATATCACCATAGAGAATATCAATATCACTGGATATTTTGATCAAATAGTTTGTTTTGTTTTATTTTTATACACACCAATAAATTTTAAGAATCAAAAATAACATTAAGGGCATTATCATACAGGGTTATTTTTCAAAGACTAGACAAATTTAATAAAATTAAAATTTTCTACATAATATAAAACAAATTCGCTTCGCACCGTCTGTACGCTTAATCTTTTAAACTACGCAACGGATTTTGATGCAGTTTTTATCAATACACAGAATGATTCAAATGGAAGGTTTATATGTATAATACATGCGTTAAATATTATATAATTCTTCTGTCCGTGTGTATGTGACTGAACTGCTCCTAAACGACTGAACCGATTTTAATGAAATTTTGTGTGCTTACGATGATTCGAGAATGTTCACAGTTAGACCCGGTAGATGACACTGTTGTCGAGATTCAGAAATCACCCGTGCAAAGCCAGAGCGGATCGGTATTAAAATATAAACACTGATATACCCCTTTTTGCAGTTGCAGAAAAGATCGAAAATGGAATGTGAATTATAGGCAACAACTACAGCGTTCGCGCGCTCGTGTGTGTACGAGTCAATGCACGGAGCTTTTGCCTACTATTTACTTCCTTAATGACACGCTCGCTACTAAGTCGATAAGTACGTATAGGGCCACCACGCTCAATCCACCATCTTAATATTCGCTATTCAAATAATGCAATGGATTGCACTTATATAGTAAGGCGCAGCACCGTTGTGTTAGAATAAAAATTATTCAGTAACACTAGGGGGTATATAGTCCAGGAAATCTTGTATAACACCTTGTAACATGCCCAAATAATTACCACCCATTAATTCGAAAATAGTCTTTTAATTAAATACGGGCCCACGATTATGTTCTCAATAATTCCAGTCCAAACATTTACACTAAATCACACTTGATGGTAACTGTATTCTATAGCGTGTGTTGCACACCGACCAGTAATATTCGTTACGACTACTATAAAACCCTACACGTGTAAATAGGGCTTCGTCAGTCCACATAATGTTAGTATTATCAATGTTAGAATATTTTCGAGATGGACCAGCCAGTGCTTGCACACGTTGGTAATGAAATGGGTGATATCCAGAAGAATTCAGTAGTTTCCACACGTAGTACTGGCTAACTCTTGAATTCTTGAGCTGCATCATTGGTGCTAGCGCAGGGGTTTCGCTCAAAACACTCGATCACTACGTATTCGACAGCCGGGCTTATTACTGAATGACCACTTCGAGCACTTCCATTTGACGGAGTGGTGAACTGTCCAAAGTCTAACAGCCTTTGGTGTGTTGAAGGTTTGGTTGTACTCCGATTGGGTGGTACACGTGCGTTATTTCCTTATCTTTGGAAACGCAGTAAATACTCACTTTTGTATAATATTTGCGCACCACGTAAACTTTTATTACTTAAAATGTAACACCGCATCATTTTATAGTATTCGCGTTCGAATATTTTCTTGCTAAAGAACTGATAAGTAATACTACCTACGAATTTTTTTTCTGCCAATTCCCGGTCACATATATGAAATTAACATTTAATTTGATGAGGTTATCCGCATAATGTGTATTATTAGGCAAAAATCAACTCAAATAGACACAGCACAAAGCAACTGTTTTTTACTAGATTGTCACTGCGTTAGTACTACAACTACTACAGAGTACTACAACCATTCTTAAGTATTACAAAAAATAATATTGGCGAATGGTGAAGAAAAATTTATTAAAAAATAAACAACGCAAACATTCTGTCCTTTTTATCTTTTAAATTCAGAATGCGTGATAATGCATTATTTTAACTGATTGTCATTCATTAATATCTAACGCCTACTATTTTACTACGCACGCACACTTTCGTAAGGGTCGCTCGGTCGGCAAAAACATTATGAATTGAATCGCACACAGTGGAGCGCGCGTACGCGTAGTTGTTGCCCATAAATCAAATTAAATTTGAGATAATTTCAAATAAAAGTAGAAGCCTTATTTACTCGTATTTTTGAAAATTGCAATAACGGTATATTATTATTTATATATTTGAACTTAAGTATAAAATTTGGATACTTTTGGAAAAATAACACTGTTTAAAGACAATTATTTGGATAACTGATTTTTATTTTTTGATATATTATATTTATGATCTTTTTCAGTTACTGTTTAGATATTGTGCTTGGGGTGTAATCGAGTATATCAAAGTGGCAACACTATTGTTACCGTATTCTTTAGTTATTGGTTATATTATTTTAATATGCTAGAAGTACTTAAGTTTTCTATATTTATATATTCTATATATATATAAGTGAACTAATAAATATATAATACTAAGTGAACGGCCTTGATTATAATAGTTACACAAAACACTTAATGAATATGCCCTTGAAATTTTTCGGGTATTAAAAATAATGGCGTGTATACTACATTGTATTATTGCAACATGTTATAAATTAATTTATTAAGTATATGATGCGAAGATAAAATACTTCTAAAAGTATGCGTATTTATTTAAATGGAATTATATTAAATGCTGTAAAAAATTAAAAGATTTCATATTAATATTTTGTATGGATGTATATATGTATATAATACTCGAGTATAGCATATAATGTGTATAGGGCAAAAAAGCTACCAGTTTAAACTTCGTGCAGCAACTATTGTTATATACGAAATTAACATCTAAGCTTCATAAGGCACATGGACAGAACAGTGTTCGTGTGGAAAAAATCCTTTAAAATATTATTGTTCGATTTATTTTCTAATTGGCGCACGTGAGGGTAACATGGTCATCCGGTTAATATGGCCACTTTCTAATAACTCAAAAACTACAGCCTTGTTTGCACACATGGCTCTGTGATACGACAGCTCTTCATCAGTCAATCAAATGAAAGTTCAAAAGGGCGCTGCTTTATCGACGCCATTTTGACAGTTGACATTATAGTAAATATGGTTATGAACTAGTTTTTTTTTAAGTTGATTTTTCGAAATGTTCCTTATTATTATCAAAGCTTGTTTGATTTTTTTTTGTTTTTGTCTCTTTCCTCCTCCTAGTTTTGGTTTTATATGGCGGCAAAGCTTAAAGTGACCATATTACACTCAAGTGCCTTATTCTAGATTTTAATAAGGAAGGAAAGAGTTTTCTACAATCTCTAATGGATTCAGATTTATAATTTTGCTCTACAAATATTTGATTACCTACTTTATAATCCTTACTAATAATCAATTATAATGAGATATTACTGTATCAGTGGTACTCAATCTAAAATTGAGAACTAAGCTGTGCAAATTACTCGTTTTATCTAATTTTATACAAAATTGTTTTTTAAATATTATTTTTCAATAAAGGCAATTTTTCTAGAAAATTTCTGAAGGTATGCTTTAGGAACAACACGAAGGAGAATTCCTGTTTACAGATACACCCACTACATTACACTTTGTGCCCAATTTATATCTATATATAAAAATCACTTGCCGCATGTATGAAAGATCATCACTTGAGAACGGCTGGACCGACTTTAATGAATTTGTTTTGCGTGTGTTTAAATAGGTCCCTGAATGGTTTAGATTCACAATTAGAACCGGTAGGTGGCGCTGTTATCGCTATATACTATGTGATCGCTAGTATTATATAAATATCCGCGGCTTTAGGAATTTCCTACTGTAGGGTAAAGCCGGCACTCACACCAGCCATCGCCTAGAAATCCTGAGTGAAATTTCACTTTTGAAATCAAAACATATGTTGAGATTCATATAATTAAAATTGTAAAATTTTGTACAACCGACTTCAATATAAATTGTTAAGAATAACTCAAAAAATATTGGTCAGACGTTGATCAATTTATATGGGACCACATGAGAAGCACCAGCCCTCAAATAAAAAAAAGAATCATCGAAATTATTAACACATAAAAAAAACACAGTGGAATTGAGTATGAAAATGGCTACACTGCAATGCTAGATTTTAGTAGTAGTTATTTTAGCGAGGCATGTCTTTCATATTTTTTCACTTTTCGTTATGTAACAACACGAAATACTTAAAAATAGAGAATGATTTGTATGGATTACTTTTAAACTATATCACTAAATTTGTTCAAAGCGTAGTTTACATTTTTATTTTATAGAATAGAATATGGGTGACAAACGAGCACATAGTCCACCTGATGGTAAGTGGATGCTATATTTATCTTCGATTAAGAATCAAAATGCATAACAACGTTCGGTTCGGAAAAAACATAATAATGAGGTTTTTCCAAACCAGTGTTAAAAGCAAAAATAGCTTTTAATTAGTATTTTTGTAATATTGTATTGAATATAAATTATTCTATTGTAATCTACTCTGAAGTTTCGGAAGTATAAACCATCGCAAAATTGAAAAACAACAGTACATTCTGATTCACAAATATCACCAATATATTCATGAATTCCACGTAGACAATCAGATTTAGATTTTGTATCCACATGTCGTTTTGATCTTGGAACTATTATTAACTATTGGAGCTATAATATAATTTTTTATTCGATTAGCATTTTGAATTTAAAATTATGATTCTGTCCCCTTACCATGAGTATATATTCCATTACTATTATAAAAAAAAACAATCAGTTTATCAATAGCATTAAAAGTAAAAATTTTTTCCGATAATTTAATACAAATTTACCTCCAGATTTCTCCTACATAAAAAATACTCCCACAGATTTTATATATTATAATAATTAAAAAAAAATGTTAAAATGATTAAAATCAAATTATATATAAAAATCGATTATAATATTAGTCATGGCCGCGATTTAAATAATTTGTTTTCACTCAAGCCCTACTATCACTTACTTTCCGAGCTAATATCTTATGTATAATACTAATTATAAAATCAAAAAATGATAGAGACTAAAGCGGTGGATTAATTCAATAATTAAAACATTTTCATATAGACACAGTGTGAACGTGTGTTAAGGCAAGCAGATTAGATCAAACCTTAGTCTCATTCAGAGCGTACATGATACTGTCGTCAAAAGTGGCCGCTATCGTATAGTTCTTCGATTCTAGGAACTGCGAGGTCTTGTTCCGAGCTGCTGCGTCTGTTGTAAACACTTCAATCACCTACAAAAGGTTAAATTTAACAAATTAATTATTTTTTATTTACATAACATTGAATATACAACTTTAAAAAACTAAAATGAAAAAACTTATATTAAAAAATAATAAATTGTGAATGTGTTTATATATGTTTTTATATTGAAAATAGGCTCTGTTTGTTACCTATGCCTGTGTTAGACGGAAGCAAGGTCAGACTTAGCGGATTTAAGAGTCCATTTTACCTAAAGATGCTTCGTTTAGAGGCGAAACACGTCTCGTATTCGACGGTCTTTTCCAGTATTGTGGTGTTGGGAGTAGTGGTGACGAGGATCGCACGTAACTGTGGGAGTGTCGGTGCTTCTCAAATTAGCTAAGACACATCATTTTATTTTATTACACGGATATTAGCTTATTTTTGTAACATCTTGTTGGAAGTAAAAACTTTAGAAATGAACTGGGGGGTGACTCGAACTTTAGGGATAGTCCATTTGAATAGCCTATCATGTAGAAGATGTCATGGGGGTCATGGTTCAATAGAGGTAAACAATTCTCATTACACTCATCAAAATGGCCAAAAACCAAAAAATTAAAAATTCTTATTTCGGCTATAACTCTGCCTCCTTCGGAGGTTCTTACACACTTTACTTCCCGTATCACACTTGTAATAATAATGTAGTAAAAGCAAGAACATCTTGACTTTCAATACAAAAAGGATTTCAGGACCATATTGTAAAGAATATTATTTAAATCTTACATGCATGTACTTGTCAGTTCCTACACAGGCAGAGCCGAATTAACCGAAAAGCAAAATACGCAGACGCTATTTTTATAACAGTGAGAGTGCAAGAGCCCCGGAATCTTAGATTGGTAAAGAGAGAGGGGTCTGACTAGGGGCGTAGTTACCGCCGTATCAATGATATGGGGCCCCCGCGGTACAGAGGCCCCGAATGTATGTAAGCAAAAAATCTAAGGACTTCTATGACAGACAGGATGTTGGTTTGAATTGATTGGCTAGCTTAGCTCCTAAGAGTATTCATTGTAAGTAATAACATAATCAATACTTAATTATTTTAACTACTACTCCACTGGGCCTCACACTCACGTTGCCTAGGAATAATCCAGTGCTTTATATAGGATAATGCCTGAATATATTGCCAAATGGCATTTACCTGTTGTTACTCAGATATTGCAGTAAACTTTTTAATTTAGGATATGGTGACACAAGCATACAGTCCATCTGATGCTTGTTTGTCACCCTATCCTAAAATAAAAAGTCTATATCTATTGTCGTTTGCGAATCAAAATGCGTTGTCAGCCGTGAGGACTAAGATGGAATTCCTCTTTTGCAGTAAAAAGGGTCTCCGATTTTGCTGAAGCTGCTATTTTACGCTGGTATTCTGTGAGAGCGTAGTCCTTCCCCGGTCGAGCCGACCCATTCATGTTACAACTATATAATACTACTAATATAGCTATAGCATGGCTCTACGACATATATAAACTATGAAAACATTAGAATTTACTATTACTATCAGTTATTTGGACACAAATATTAATTTTAAAATGTAAAAGATGATAATAAAATATTTATTTTGCGAATCAATCAAATAAAAAAAAAAGAAATTTAATAAAAAAATCATATAAATATGGTAGTCATGTAATTCAAATGTTTGTCAAATTGTACAGTGTGACGTTATGTTTAGTATAATAAATGAAATTCAGTCTGGAGGACATTATTATTATACTTAAAAATACCTGTAAATACACAAGGCCATCTTCGAATGGCAAATGTTGCAGAGCTGGCAAAGCAGCATCTCCGCCAAGCAGCAGCAGTTGGGCTCGAGTTGCCTCGGCTGCCAGCAGTACTGTGTATAATGGCAGACACAATACACGGGAACTGAATGCCGACCCCCGAGTCTCTGCTTCTTGGTATGTTACCTGGAAAAGAGGTGAAGTTCCTCCTTTGGAAGGTTATCGAATATTGTACACGAACATACCACTTTCTACAGTACAGTACAGGAACATAATTAGCTAGTTTAAAATACATTTTTTTAATAGGATACGAGTGAGAAGCGAGCACACAGTCCACCTGATGGTAAGTGGTTGCTGTGGCCCATAGAAATCTACATCTATTGTCGTTTGGGAATCATATTAACATCAATTTATACATGGTAGAGCCATGTTGCAGCTATATTAATAGTATAGTTGTAGCACAAATGGGTCGGCTCGACCGGGGCAGAACCACGCTCTCACAGAATACCACTGTAAAATAGTAACTTAAAGCTGCTGTGTTTTGTATGGTGAGTGTAGAGAACCGGAGACCCTCTGCATCTGCATTTTGATTTTTTTAATAGTATAAGGCTGACAAACAAGCACACAGTCCACCTGATGGTAAGTGGTTGCTGTGGCCCATAGAATCATCTACATCTATCCACGTTTGTGAATCAAAATGCAGATGGGTTGTCACCTGTGAGGACTAAGATGAAATGCCTTGTTTCCAGTAAAAACGGGTTCTCTACAGTCACCATACAAGATACAGCAACATTAAGATGCTATTTTACGCTGGTATTCTGGTCCTTCCCCGGTCAAGCCGAATCATTTGTGCTACAACTATACAATTAAAATGCTTTTTAGTACTTAGTGATTACAAGTTATAAAATTGGTACTAAATTATGTCCTGCGATTGCTTGCAAGTTCTCCTATACGGTTCCGACAGAACATCTGCGCAATCCATTTTATTCTTAATATATTGTTAAGTATTTTTTTGTTTGTATATGAACGATTTGTAAAAGCAAGTTGCAGCATTAAATAATTATGTTCTTTCTTTCTTTCGAAAAATGGTAATATTAATTTCAATAGTGTAAAAGAATCCACTGCTCCATATTATCCCGTGGGTGTCATTAAAGCTACGAGTCTCGCAGTTTTTTTTTATTGTTTAGTCACTGAATATATTAATACAGACTAAGGAGATGAATAAGCTACACTACAGACTTTATTAAACTCATTGAACGGTTTCAGAATGTGATATTTACACAATCTACAGAAAAACATAATATTGACTTCACCTCCAAAACATTACCATACGTAACTACCATCATACATGTAACACCATATTTTCTATATTGGTCAATCAAATATTTTTTTATACAGTAATGACAGAGTTCACGTGTTAATGATTCCTTTTATTTGCTCCACATTGAAAAAAAACTTATTTTATGGATTTTGACGCATTTAATTTAACATAGGCACCTGAAATGTCTAGAATTAAAATAAATTGAACTGAATGTGGCAAACTCCGTAAAATTTGTTTTTAAATGAGTTCATGTGTTGTTATTGAAAAGTTTGACTACCTTGTTGGTCTAGTACTTGCAAGATCATGTGGGTGGGTTTAAATCTAGGGTCGAACCAAAATCAGTTATTAAGTTTTTCTGTCAACAACTCTCAGTAGCAGCCTGGAATCAGGATGTCGGCAGTGTTTGACCTTTTGTGTCCCAGTAAGTGCTTAAAGCAGTAGCTCCTGCATTTGATTTTATTCCACTTTGCTGGATTTCCTTCCCATCGGGCTACGAGAGTAATTTGTCACAATGTACTATAATTCTGTGCTGCACAAATGACTAGTCTCAGTTGAGACTGGCACATATTCATCATCATCATCACCTTCCCTTTTTTATATGTAATTTATTTTAGATTATAGGCTAACAGCACTAATATCTCATAATAAAGACAAAGACACTGTGACATTATAATTACTTCTATTGAAAAGTAAGACTTACCTCGCGTGGATGATTGGTTGGGCTCAGGCAAGCATGTAAAGCTCTCGAAGCTCCTCTTAATGCTAAGTAGTCCCGAGCAGCAGCCCTAACAACCACTCCATCCCAATTACGAACTGCTTCCAAATACAATGTGGTTGGGTCTCTTGGACCCTTAGGCAGGAACTCTATAAAGGTTCTTCTTTCGACTGGACCGAGGATGCGATCGAGTATTTCAATCCTGGGTGTAGGTTCCGGTCGAGGGGGTTGCACGTGGGGAGCTCGGGGTGCTAAGTGTAATTGTCTCACATAAGCTACAAGTGGTGGAGATTCCTGAGGGATTTTTGCTAGCTCATAGTCCCGGGACATGTTCAAGCGGAATTGTTGGGCTCCAAGAGCTGTAAACAAAGTTATACTTTTATTATATACATATAATATTTATTCAGTACATATTAAAAGAGAAATTGCTAAATTGTCTTTCATCACTTTTTATAAAGTAGCCATTTCTTTACTAAAATAATAATTGATTTTCTTTGGATTGCTATTATAAGAGAAAATTTTCAATAACTTGATCCATAGTAAATGTAGGCACTTATTATGCACAAGTCCAAAACTAAGAATGTGTTTTACATTTGTCTCACCTTCTGTCAGGGTTGCACAGGATAATTATCAATCTTGATAATTATCACTGATAATAACGTTGATTCCTGCATATGATATTGTGCGTAACGTCTATAGCGTGTATACGAACGAGGGTAAAATTGTGGGTCTAAGTTTTTGGTGTAAAGTCGATAGTGTGTATCTGAACACGAGAAATGTGAATGGGAGGGACCCCTTGTCCTCAATGTTTATTTTTGTTAGTTTTTGTTGATATACGTAGAAAAAACATGTCACAAAATCGGGATCCACTGTGGTTATAGTTTGACTACATAAAAACAAATAATAGCAGTTTATGGGCTTAATGCAAGAAATGTAAGAATATGACAAATGAAAAGATGTTGTATTGTTTAAATTTTGTTATTGTTGATTGTATCAAACAAAGAGTATTATTTTGTTTTGAATTATAAGAATTATAACTATTAAACATATTTTTACACATTATATTGCTGGATAATTATCAATGAACATTACTATCTTGATAATTTGTAACCCTGCCTTCTGTTTTGTTTATCAAATTGCATATAACCAAGTCACATTATCATATATTGTCTAGTGGGTATTAATTTTCTCTATTGAGCTAACAATTTCCTAGTTCAGTTGTAGATACCACAGATATAACACAGTCTGTTCTAACACACATAAATATAGTACAATGAAATGACTTTCAAGGCACCATCCAACTAAGGATACCTGATAGTTGTAATAAGCACTGCACCTTACATTCATTTATTATTTCAAACATTTCACAACAGTCTATCAAATTCCTCTGTAGTGTTCACAGAGGAATTTGATAGACTGTTAGATTGTTATTATATACATAGATTGCCCCCTAAGTGAGCTGGCAACAGAAGTTTTTATTTTCTAGCTGTTATTATTTGGATGTTACTGCCCATCTTCCTTTTTTTCTTTTTAAAACATTACCCACACACTAGAAATTTTTCATGTCTCATTTCAATTATATCAATTTACAAAAATAATTACACAAGGACAAACAATCAGATCTGGAACAATTATTATTTGTAGGCCATACTAATACTTGTCACATGTGTGATTCAAGCCAGGGGCAATCAGCACTCCCAACTCAGTGCTAAGCTAAAACGCGATGGAGGTGTCAAATTTGTTTCACATTGTCACCTCTTTTGACACCTATAAGACGATATGTATACATACTTAGCTTATTATGTACCTTATCATGTACATGGTTAAGGTACATAATAAGTTGTATGCATTTGCATTTCCATTACAATTACAGCCTATTAAAGTCCACTGCTGAACATAGGTCTCCCCCATAGATTGCCTCAAAGGGGGATGATTTTTAGTTGTTATTAGGAAGATGCTGCTGCCCATCTGCTGATTTGTTTCCTACTGTTGTTTCTTACGACACCAACAATATAATATGGGGTAGTAGATATTCTTACACCTTCACCATACAGTACATAGTAGTTACTAATATTGAGGTAATTTATATTGGTTTCTCTATATTATTCTGTTTATTGGTTATTTTGCAAATAAAATAGTTCATTTAGTATGTGTTTCAACCCCTGATGGCTTAGATGGAATGCCTTGTTACCAGTAATTTGTGATGCACCCATAATATAGCTCCAGCATGGTTCATCCATCACAGCCTATAATAGTTCACTGCTGAACATAGGCCTCCCTCATAAATAGCCTCATAGGAGGGATTTTGTCATAGTTACCATGCTTGGCAGTTGGGGTTGGCAACTGCAGTTTTTTTTTGTTATGTAGTGTTGTGATTAGGAAGATGCTGCTGCCCATCTCCTGTTTCATTTTCCCTCTGTTGCCTCTTACGACACCCACGGGATAATATAGGGTAGTAGATATACTTACACTGACACTACACAGTATATGCTTTATGTTGTTACTGTTATTGTAGTAATTTGTATTGGTTTCTAAATATTATTCTGTGTATAGGTTATTTTGCAAATAAAATAGTTAATTTATAATGTGTTGTAACCCCCAATGACTTAGATAGAATGCCTTGTTACCAGTTATTGGTGATGCAACCATAATATAGCTCCAGCATAGTTATACCACTAAAACTAAACATAGGTTTTCTCAAATGAAAAGGAAATGACAAAGTTATAGCTCCAACTTACCAACAGTATCCATGTAGATTAATAAAATAGTCATTACTGTGACAAAAGTCAACAAAAACAGCACTGCTGGCAACAACCGCCTGTACAACTCATTGGGGGGAGTCTTGGTGAATGCAGATATTGTGAGTCTAGGTGATGTTGTCACCACCGGTACCGGGACTGGCACGGGATTTGCTTTATCTGGTGCAGTTTTTGCTGGCACAGTTTTCTCTTTATCAGCTGTTTCAGACTGTTCTGGCATAGTTTCTGCCGGTTTTGGCTGTTCTGGTAATGTATTGTCTTGGGATTTCTGCAACAATCAATTCAAATTATTGCCTTGTTGAAAATTGATAGTAATATTACCATTACCACTAGAGTCTATCATAAGTCGACTGCTGAACATAAGCCTCTTCATAGATGCCTCATATCACCCAAATTGGGTTGGCTATAGATATCCGGTACTTGATTTTAATTATGTTTTCAGTTTAGGAGGCTTGTATGGGCTTAGCATGAACCTTTTACACTGTTTTTGAATGTCGGAAATGAGTTTTGAATTAATTGCGATAAAAATAAATTTCACTAAAAATTCCGTATAACGTAATGCAAATATGACATTTTGTATAGTGTTATGAGATTAGATGTCAACAACCGATGTAAAAAAGTGTGAAACGAGACGGTGTTGACGGCCATAATTTGGGCAACCGTAAATGTCACATATTATCTATGATGTCAAATGTCATTCCGTTTCTCTAGTGAATAGCGAATGTTCTCTCATGTGCTTAGTGCTGTGTTTTACCTGTTTTTGCGACGACTTCTGCTCTGTTTTTGAACTTTTTGATTTGATTTAAAATTACATTGTTTCATTTACCACTATCTTAGCCGAGTTTAGGGAAACCTGACTTTATAGATAAGATAGATCGAATCTTTACTAAAGCTGAATCAGAACACCCTGAATCCACATAGTCTTGTCTGTCCTACCCCTAGAGTGTTTTTGTAAGCTGTAGGCGCGGAGGGAGAGCAGCCCCCGCCCGCTGTAGCAAATCGCAGGCTCCTGTGTGAGCCGTAGTGAAGTGCGAAGGTGAGCATGGGTGCCTGTGATTTGCTACGCAAGGGTAAAGGGGCTGCACTTCCCGCAGCGCCGAAGCCGTTGCAGAAGTAACTTTGTGTCAATATTCCTGTGTAAAAAAGTGAGGTTATGATTTCACAAAAAAAATTATTACTCATAAACGAATTGACAGATGTAAATGATATGCTACAAAATTTTCTACCAGAAAATTCGAGATGTTATTATTAAATTTGTTCCCATCAAATCGTCAAAAAATAACAATTAGCCACCTTGGTTTGATCGGAATCTAATTAGAACGCTAAAAGATAAGTATAAAATTAGGTGCCGTCACAAAAAATATAAAAATCCCAGAGATGAGCTTGAACTGCAATTGCTGAGTAAAAGGTGTACACATATGGCCACAAATTGTTACAATAGGTATATAAAGCTAATAGAGAGTGACATAGCAAAAAACCCAAAACTATTTTGGTCATTTGTCAAGGCGAAACGTGGTGGTTCAAGCGCATATCAATGACAAATGACTGACGGAATGACAGTAACTTCTGATGGAGTGGAAACTTGCGAACTTTTCTCTTCACACTTTTCATCCGTGTACTCTGAGAATACTGAATGAACTGAGCAGGATTATGTTTATGACCATTCAGTCTTTGAAATCAATAGAAATTAATAGCCTTCACTTAGCAAAGCTGACAATTAATCATGATACCCTATTAAATAAACTAAAAGCCATCAATTGTAATAAAAGGGCAGGTCCTGACGGAATATCTCCAGTGTTCGTAGTTAGATGTGCTGAACATCTTGTTAACCCACTTTTAATTATTCCCAATCTTTCTCTTTGTACTGGTTAGTTTCCTACAGAATGGAAAATAGCTAAAATCGTTCCAGTTCATAAAGCGGGTAATGCGGATTATGTAAAAAATTACAGACCAATCTCTATACTATCAGTCTTCGTTATATTATTTGAGTCAATAATTTGTCCTTTTATTCAGAAACATATCAATCTTTACTTAACCACTAGCCAATATGGTTTCGTTAAATCTAGGTCCACGAGTACTAACTTGGTACATATTACGGAAACACTAATTGAAGCGCTTGATGCGGGAAAACAAGTCGACGTAATATATACTGATTTTAGCAAAGCGTTTGATCGGGTCCCACATGATATATTGATTGGAAAGTTAGCTGCCTATGGTATTACTGGTAGTTTGTTGAATTGGCTAAAATCATATTTAAATGACCGAGCGTTTTTTGTAGTAGTGAATGGATATCAGTCAGGCTTGAAAAACATTAATTCTGGTGTGCCCCAAGGGTCACATCTGGGACTGATTCTGTTTTAAGTGTTCGTTAATGAAATTCCAAAATTGATGAAAAGTTCTTGTACGTACTTGTATGCGGATGACTTAAAAATTTGCAAGATGATAATGGAAGAGAATGATTCAGTGAAGCTACAAAATGATTTGGATCAATTGGTGGAATGGTGCAAAGTAAATCGTATGGACTTAAACATTAGTAAATGTTTTTATGTGCAATATGCGAGAAAAAGTAATACCATCGATTATAGCTATCACATTGGAGATAATAATATACAGCAGTTAGACCAAATTAGAGGCTTGTTTTTTGAGGGGTTGTTTTCGATAAAAATTAACTGTTGTGCCTCACATTGAAAACATTACTAAACGTGCATCTAGGATGATGGGTTTTGTAATAAGAAATATCAGTCTTTCGAAGCTCTAAAATTAAAATTCTATTGTTTAACAGTTTGGTAAGAAGTATATTAGAATACTGTGCTGTAGTCTGGAGACCTCATTATGCTACACATTCACTGAGAATCGAGCGGATCCAAAAATATTCATAAGACATTTGTCTTACGCGCGTGGGTTTAGAAATTATAAGAAGCATGTATCATATGAAAATAACTTGGTCTATTTCAAAATGATTTCTCTAGAATACTGCAGGGATATTATTGATTTAATTTTTGCTTCGAAAATTATTAGTGGTGTTATTGACTGTCCCGAAATTTTAAGTAAATTTAATTTGTGCGTTCCCTATCGCTATCCGCGTTTTGCTCGTAAGATTACACCGTTGACTAGACCTCATTGTAGAACAGTGTTTGGCTCCAATTCTCCAATTGCTAGAATGAGTAAAATTGTTAACAAATTTAGCGAAACAATCGATATATTTTTCGACCCTCCTAACAAGCTCCGTCACACATTAAGAGACCATTTCTTGTAATATTCTATAAAACATTTTCTTTTCTTTTCGCTCTATGTATTTTTATTACTGTATATCATTATTATTTTTTTTAACCCTAGAAATAAAGTTACAGTGCTGAGATAGTTATTAGCATGTGGTATCCGCCTGTAATTATTTGTACATTTTAGTTCTTATTGGTTCATTGTATTTAAATAGCATGTAAGGAATGATACAAATGTTGATGGATCAATAAATAAAAAAACATAAACTATACATTTCCACAATGGGAGAAGGGTAGGGGAGGCTTCCCCTGAACCCTCCCGCTCCCCCTCCCCCTCCCACCCCTGTACGCAAGTACCGGATGTCTATAGTTTAACCCCCAAATTTGATATGGTTGCTATGTTTGGTAGTTTGCGAGCAGTTTTTAATGTTTTAGTTGTTATTAGAAAGATGCTGCTGCCCATCTCACGGTTTGATTCCCTCTGTCGCCGTTTACGACACCTACAGGGCGATATGGGGAAGTGGTTCTTCTTACACCACTACTGCACGGTCAGATACTAATATATTAAATATTAATTGATAATTGATAAATCTAAACTTATATAAAATAAAAGTTCAATCACTCATTACTTAGGTAATTAAAAGAATGTTTATCAAAAGTTTATTACATAAACTTTTGATAAACATTGTTTTGAAAAACAATTTTTGATTTCTTTTAAGTAAACAAAATAAATTAACAGAAATATATAGAACAGCATAAGAATAGAATAAGATCACATACAATTCATAGTAAGTGATTTTAAAATTAAAGAAATGTGTCGTTTGTTAATAATTACTTATTTCTTCAAACACTAAAATTTCACCATTAGAACTGCCAAACGAAAATGAATAAATATGAAACCCCGCATTGTCAAATGTACAGGTGACATTTCTTTAGTTTTTTTTTAGTTTTCAAATCGTGAAATAGTTAAAAACAATTAACCTGCACGTGGTACTCACTTTTTCTGCCATTATATTACGACAAAAATCTAGTGAAAAAATTCTATGAAAAGTACAGATATATTTTGCGTAAACTCATTCAATTTTGGATAATGCTAAAAGTTAAAACACACTTATAAACAGTGGAGGATCCTTCAAAAGTAAAGGATTAAATTAAACATTTACGCGCACTTTTTCACCTTTGAACAAACACAATAATAATTAAATAAATAAATGTTACATTTATATGAAACAGAACAGGTGAATGAACGCGTGAGTCACCTCACTTCAGTGTTGCCAAGTCTAGACCGGTCGGAGTCGCCAAAAATTTGTCGTCAAGTAGCCTAAATTCGCCTAATTTGTTTTCTCTGTAATGTAGCCTAAAATCGCTTGCTGAATTGTCCAGGTAGTATAAAGGCTATTTTTAAACGTAGACCTACTTAATCAAACTTATTTATAACTAGCTGTTCCTCGCGACTTCGTAATTTAGGGTTTTAATTTTTCGCGAGGAACCCTAATTATTTTTCTAAAATAAAATTAGCCTAAGTTACTCCTCATGACAATAGCTATCTGTCAGTGAAAGTCCCGTCAAAATCGGTCCAGCCCTTTCGGAGATTAGCCGGAAGAAACAGACAGACAAAAATTTTAAAAAGTGTTATTTTGTTATAAGTACCGATTATACTTTAATATGCATTTAGTAAAACGCTGTAATTTTGACATTACAAATAGACACTTCAATTTTATTTATTTATATAGATTTCAACAAGATAAGATCTGAAGCAGTTTATCGTAAACGTGAAAGAAAATATCAACATATAAAATATGTGTTTTATCAGTTTATCATTATTAATATTTTACAAAATTGAAGCGAAATATTTAATTACAATTAAAGAGATTTTTACAATTTAAATTATATACATATATGTACACACCCCTAGCTGCCCCAACAAAGGTAGACTGGACTAGGGCCCATCAGTAGTCCAATCGACGGGCAGCAGAGGACGGGGCCCAACGGCCTATGGAGA